CCAACCAGAGTTTCTATGCAGTTATTATTAATATCTAATCAGATATTACAGCCTCTCCCCAAACCAACAGAAATCATAATGTATTAAGGATTGTTCTGGCATAAGATATTTCCAGATATTTGAAGTTTTTCCAAGGTGCTGGTTTAAAAGAGCTTCTCTCCAATTTTCAATAAACTAGTTGTTATCCTCAAATCTGTTGAAATCAAGGATTACCACATGTTTTAAATAATAGCTGGAATTTGATGGAGCTAAAAAGCTATTTGAATTGATTTATAGGATTGGTTCTCCATCAACATTAGCCAATATTTATTCAACATGCTAGTTCGGTTTTCTATGGAAACTGGGAGCTTCAAGCTAGCATTTCTATAGGTTGATAAGTAGTCAATCAACCAACAGCTTTAAGAAGAGATTATCTCAAATGAAAGCAGTGTTGAAAAGCTTTTTAAAGTAAGATATTAAAAAATAATTCTATTTGAGAGCACATATAATCTCACATTACAATATCTGGTAACTAACTGTTTGATAGTAAATGTGAGTCAGGTTCAATCTAGGTTAATACCTATTTGTGACTGTTCAGAATCATCCATGGAGTAATCTATTATTAAACAAAGTGTGCCATTTTGTACAGCTTTATTCTGAAAACCATTCAGACCTTGCTAGAGAGATTTGAAAGACAATTTGATTTTGCTTGGCTATTGTCAGCTAAGTGTTTTCCATTAATTTTATTACTGTCCTACTAATGAAGACAGATGTCGGATGGCAACCAGTTTATCCAGATATAAGATATTATTTGACTACCCAATTTATTAGTGAAAGTGATTCATTGCACTGACAATAGGGAAAAACAGATGACTTAAAATTTATGATGAGGTAATTTTGTATCTTTCAGGCATGGTAATGAATCACTATTTTCCCGCCCTCTTTTGACCTAATTTTCAAAATTGTATACTTGGATTTAATATTAGGATGTAGATGATGTCTATTAATCTTACAATTATTTTACCAGGTTATAGGCAGGCATCAATCTCAGAGTGAAGAAAATAAAATGCAGATGTAACTTTGAGATCTACGTAGATAATTATAGTGCAGAATTCATTTTTACCATTCAATGTATTAATTTGTAGTTAATAAGCACACTTTGACAATTGAGTGGACTGTATTCTAATTTAAAAAAACAAACAAGAAATGATCCCATTAGTTAATACTTGCAACATGGCAAGTTACAATATTAATAAGCAGTAGTTCTTCATCTTAGCATATGTCCTGATTAGTTGAAGATTCTCCTTATTTTGCCCTCTGCTCACCTAGATCTTATAGTCAGGTTTATTAATGTGTGATGTGACAAGTGTAGGTGTGAATCCCAAAGGTGCTTTTTCAAGAGGCAACTGGACTTTCTGGTTTTTCTTTGAAGATATTTCACTTCTCATCCAAGAAACTTCTTCAGCTGAAGAAAAGAGCTGAAGAAGCTTCTTGGATGAGAAGTGAAACATCTTCAAAGAAAAACCAGAAAGTCCAATTGCCTCTTGAAAAAGCACCTTTGGGACAACCATGACGAGGATGACTGAGAATCTCCATAGAGACATGTAGGTGTGAGTGTGTTTTTCAAGCAGATTGTTGCAGAGCTGGATACTGATTTGTGCTGAGAGGAAGTGACTGGTCCAAGATCATATAGCTGGCTTTCATGTCTAAGGGAAGACTAGAACCTAGGTCTCTCTGCTCCAGATCTAGCACTCTGATTCTCGCTGTTAACAAATAGTATTGATAAATATTAAATGAGAGACATAAGAGGCATTGGCAAGTAGGTGGCCTTAAAAAGATTGAAATAAATAAGTATCCGAATTTATTATAGTTATGTAATTTGCAGAAAAGGTAGAATTCTGAGGATGATTCAAAAATCTTAGGGCTATGAAATCAAAATCCTAATATGTGCATAGAGCAGCAGGTTTGGAGAGGTTTGTCATCAAAGTGAAATTGTTGTCGCGTACACCCCACCCCATTTTCTCCTGCATACAGAAGGAGTATTGTAGGGAGATTGTATAGGTTGGTGATTAAGAAGGACAAGTGATGGAAGAAGTTTAAGTCTTCATGGTTTGAGTAAACACATCCAATCTGCTCTGTTCAATAATATTATATTATTTATATTGCAAGATATTATACAAAATCCCAGTACCGGCTTATCTTAAAAGCCCAAACTATAGGGAACACTGTGCCACATGTAGTTCTTTGGATTATTCCTTTTGTTTAAATGCAGCTGTTGATTGAAACAGCAGACCCATACTAGAAGGCCAGGTTACTTAATTCTTTTTACTTGCCTGTCTTTTCTAATGAAAAGATGTATTTCTCTCTCTCTTTCTTCCTCTCTCCCTCCCTCCTTCCATCTCCCTCCCTCCCTCCCTCCCTCCCTCCCTCCCTCCCTCCATCCATCCATCTCTCTCTCTCTCTCTCTCTCTCTCTCTCTCTCTCTCTCCTATCAGCCCCCACCTCCCCATTTTCTTTCTAGAAGTAGAAAGCCAGACAGGAATAGATTGTCGGGGGAAGTGGAAGGAAGATTATTAACTGCTCCATCTACATTGGCATCCCACATTTGAGTGAGGTGTGTGCATTTGTATGTGTTTGAGAGGCAGATCTTGAACAAAGCCTGAAATTTCAGCTTGCTGAAAGCATGGAATGTTGTTTGGCAGTATGTAATATATTTAACAGTATTTACTTTTAAGCTCATGTATAGTTAGCTGAACATATCACAATTTTACCACAATTACAAATGCCGCTATGATTTGACATTAGGCATGCCATCAAATTGTAAAATGTGCTTGGCAGACAATTTTAATAGATATTTCTGCATATTTACAGTATTTTCTTTCCTTCCTTCCTTCCTTCCTTCCTTCCTTCCTTCCTTCCTTCCTTCTTTCCTCCTCCCTCCCTCCCTCCCTCCCTCCATGAATTTCAGAAGTTTGAAGAGAAGTCTATATAATTATGTTTTAGCCTGCTTTATCGTCCAGATTGTACATGGACCAAGGTATTTTATACAAATTTTATTTATTTATTTATTTTTAAAAACCATTTAAATTACAATGGTTTAAGTAGATTAATAATCAGAAATTATCCCACCCAACAAACTTATGAAGAAAAATTACCCTGCATTTTACTACCTTTATTCTTTTACATTAATGCAATTCAAGAATGAGACAAGAACCTTCCAATGAAATTTATGTGTGAAATCAGATACTTGTCTTATGACCACAATTGAGCCCAAAATTGCGAGATAGTTGTTAAGTGAGTCTTGCCCCATTTTATGACCTTTCTTGCCACAGTTGCTAAGTGAATCACTGAGGTTGTTAAGTTAGTAACATGGTTGTAAAATGAATCTGGCTTCCCCGTTGACTTTGCTTGTCAGAAGGTTCACAAAAGGAAATCACATGACTCCAGGACACTGCAACTGTCATAAATAGGAGCCATTTGCCAACCGTCCAAATTCTGATCATGTGACCACGAGGACGTTGGAACAGTCATAAGTGTGAAAAATGGCCATAAGTCACTTTTTCCGTGCTGTTGTAACTTCAATGAAGTCACCTAATGAAAGGTTGCATGGCAAAAGTTCAGAGATCCTTGTTAGATCAAGCACACAAACAGACCCATTGACCTGTAACCTAATCACTGCTTTCTCTAGTAAGAAAGCACAGGAGGATCAATTGGCTGCATTCCTAAGCAAACCCAACTCCTCTCCCTTTGAACTTGAATAGGAAGGGAGAAAAATCAGGAAGACTAGAAGGAAAAAGAGAAGGGAGGGACATATGTTCACCAGGGCTGAAGAAAAGACTGCAGGTTTTTTTTTTTTTTTTTTTAGCTGGTATCAATTTTTAAGATGTGTGGTTTTGCAGATACACTGACAATACATAGAATACAGGAAGACTTAATGAGGAGGATGTAAAGATTCCATCAGCATGTCAACAGTTCCATTTAGTGACAAAATATAGACTTCAACCTAGAGGCGTCTAACAGTCTATGGTAATACTGCTACAACAGACCAAGATTTCATTGGGTTTAGCATACATTTGAACCTAAAGTCTTCTTAAATCCTACCCTCTCCACGCTGGCCCTGAGCTTTTCTCATCCCCAACTCTCCTGCACACGGAGTAGATGTATAAGTGTTGTCAGCAATAGTGCTGTAGGAAATATAAAAACATTTTGTACATTAAACCACCAGACTTTTCAAGATAGGCTCAGTTATAATAAAAGTTTCTATGCGAAACAACACAGCCCTTGTTTCTAAAAACTGAAGCAAAGTTGCCTTGTGGCTGCCCTTCAAGTTTCTCTTAAGGCCTCTTATTCATGGTCAGCAGCTAAACGAGGCTTTAGTTATCTCTGTGCATGTACAGACATTTCAGAATTGGCTTTTGTGCACCCTTAATCTTTAATAAGGAGGCACTATGGCTCAGCAGTTAAAGACAGTGATCTTGTCAGCTGGAAAGCTGACAGCCTGGGTTTGAGACCCAAGTGCAGCATGATGGGGTGAGCTCCCATTACTTGCCTCAGCTCCTGCCCACCATGCAAATGCAAGTAGATAAATAGATACCACTTCATTGTGAAGGTAACAGTGTTCCATGCACCTTAGTGGATAGTCATGCTGGTCACATGATCATGGAAATGTCTTCAGATAATGCTAGCTCCCTCAGCTAAGAAACGGATATGAGCACTGCCCCTAGAGTTGGACACAACTGGACAAAGGAAACCTTTACATTTAATTATTAATATAATAATTGTAAATGCTTATATCTGAATCTAATCATAGTGTGACCATCACATGACATAAATGATTAAAGCAGTATAGTATTAAGATGTTGACCTTTCAAAACATGGTTCCTTCCCAATGATGCAGCTGCTTAAATTTCTCTTTAATGCCATCTTGGAAAGAATTTGCCTCAGTGATTTGCACAGAATCGTATGGTTTTTTGGATGAGATCCATTCCATTCTTCCCGGGAACCTTATATTTCATTTACAGACATGATTATCTACTGAATCAGAAGAGATGACTTCATTGAACTGCCTATCCACAATGACATCAAAATCAGGGAAGTTTACAACTAATTCTCGTCTCATCAGCATGCAAGAGCAATTTAATGTGCACACTTCAAACTGAATTGCTTTGCAGGAAAGAGAACACACGGTTAGTATACTATCTATTCTAATTTTGCAATATGCATTGGGTAACAGTATTTGCATCAAGTCTTAGCTATGATGATTAAAAATAGTTTAGTTTTTACTCACAACCCATATCTCAGGTGTTTGTTTTTTTAAATACCTCATGAAAGGAAAAGATTTTGAGAACTCGAGCAATTTTCTTAACCCTGGATTCTTACTTTTTGGCCTTATTGCTGGTTTGAAATCTTACTTGTCTATTTATCTTGCCATAGCCCATGAAACAAAAATTAAAAACTACTTATTATTAACCTTGGCACTTACTAGAGAATAAGGATTTTTGGATTTTTGTCTCTCTGTTTTACAAAAATGATCTCGCCTTCGCTGGCATCTAAACTGGCCTTAAATCAAAGCAGCCCCCTTTTCTATATTCTCTTTGCTCCCTGCTGCTCTGACAGGATGCCGGTAGCCTTTCTCAGTGCTACTGATCGCCGCCTGATATTATTCTGGCCCTATTGTCCGTATCACTGGTCCACTGAAAGTGCTTGGCACTCCCAACAGCCCACCTCTATCTGAAAGAAGCACATTGCTTTTCTTTGTTGCGGCAGTTCCTCCTGCAGAAATGATACTTATCCCGCTCAGGCATATTGGCTACTTTAAATCTCTTTTCCTAAGGGACACTGGCTTTATAGTCACGCAACCTGTTTAGGTAGAATGGCTGTCAGCATATTTCTGAAGTGCCTTTTAATTTGGTTGCTTGAAAATGATCTGTGCAAGAGCCTTGGAAAATGACTCCTCACTAAGGCTACGATGAATGGAAACGGAACTGTAGGATAGTGGCAGAGTGCATGCTTTCCAGGCAAACAAAACTGGTTTCCCCCACTGTGATTTCTGCAGCAGGAGTGGGAAGATTCTTGGATATCCTGGAGAGACAGCTATTAATTAGTGCAAACCAGGAATAGACAGCCTGGTTCTTCCTTATGGTTTTAAACTACAACACCCACCTTTCCTTACTAGGAAGATGGAAAGAAGGATAGGGAAGCTGAGGTTCAAAACATATGAGGTTCAAAGCATCAGATTTTCTATCCCTAATATAATTAGAATGGAAGTGGAGAGCTAACTGTCTCACCTGGCATGATCAGGGCTATGTTAATTCAAATTTGTTTTAAAAGGGCTATGTTCAATCCAGGCAGAGAATTAAAATAACACTATTCATAGTAGGTGAGTTCAGAGGTGGCCCCGTGCATAGGCTAAATCTGCCTTTAGTCACAGATACATGTGGTGGCCATGCTGCACATGCACTGTGCAGGAAAATGAGATTTATTCTGCATGCAAAAGTAGTCAGGATTCCCCTCAAGATGGAGAAAGTCAAGAGGCCTCTAGTAAAGGGAGGTCTGCAAGGGTTGCATGCAATGATTCCAGAGGACAAAGGGAACCTGTGCATTTCTGTGGCTTTTTCCATGCTCTCTGTTTGTCTGCAAACAAGAGGTGTGACTTATGCTCCCTATTCTTTCAATACATTGCCTTGATTCTGCCAGCATTATTTTCCTCCTGTTCCAAAACTTCCTTTGTGCTCATGTGTACCTTGGCAATCCCAAACTGCATCACAACCTCACTGGGAAAAATTAGAGGCATTCCATAAACTCTGGATCCAAGAGCAACAAGGGCAAATTGGACAGATGGCATTGAAAAGGGAGGAAAAGCAGGATTGTAGCCTGCAAAAGAACTGCTGAGAAAAGAAAACAACAAAAACAGGGAGATGAATGTTGATATGACAACATATTAAAAAAAAAAAAGAGCAATTAGCCTTGGCTCAGATTTAGATTTTAATCAGCTCTCCTTCCAGGTTTTAATTCCCCAACTCCAACACACATTCCTTCTAAGCTTGAAATATATTTAGAAAGCTTTTCACATTCTGCAACATCTTTCAACTACTTTTCAACCTCTCCTACAAGTTGAATGAGAATTGGAACAAGTGATGGCGATCATCTGCACAGCCAACCTTTGCTGACATAGCCAAAGAGCCTGGGTTTAATTAAGAACCTGCTTAAGTAGAGCTTTTAAAGACTGATTGATTTAGTAACTTGATACATTTCAATACTTACACCCCAGGAATTATATCCTGGTATAACCCAGCTAAAGACTGTTGGATTGTAAGGAGACTGGATATGGTTTTTCACTCATGTCCATATTAAGCATAAAATATCCTTTTTCCATTTGTATGTTTGATGTATACAAATAATTTGTTCTTGCTTCTATGAGTGATATACTCTCACCCACTTTGCATAATTACTCCACCCACTGAGCTCTTGGCCCCCTTATATCCCCTTCCCAGATCCTTAATTTGAATAGTGAGGGACTGAATGCTTTGATTTGCAGGCTGAATTGGATTTTATCAGCTGTGATAATTTCTTGGTCATGAATTAAGCAGTTCCAGAGCTAGTGTCAGGAAATGTATGCACATTCAGGCATCTAGCTAGTGTATCATTCAAGAAGCACTTTCATGCATGTGCAAATTCAGATCTAACGTTTGGATCTGTTTGCATGAATCTCTTACTCAATATAGTAAAAGATAATGGAAATTGTATCCTGTCTATAAAGTTGTGGACATAATTGATTTTTTTCCCCCCTTGGGCTTATCTGTATATGAAAAGATCAACCCCCCCCCTTGTCCTCTTCTAATACTTGGTCACATATGCACAACACTGCTGTGCCTGTTACTTTTAACAGGAAACTGACAAGACTTTCCTATCCATGGCTTGTCTCCAAGCCTTTGAACTGTAATTTCACTGTCAGTATCAAAGTAGATTATCAGTAATGGTCAAGCAGAATTTGGAAAGGCCTGAACAGAACTGTTTTACTCCAACTTAATTTTCCCTGACCTTCTTGTTCTACCAGCATTGAATATTTATGCAGTTCTTTATTTATTTATTTATTTAATTTTTATACCGCCCTTCTCTTGAGGGACTCAGGGCGGTGAACAGTTAACATAACATACATATAAAATGTGAATATAAGATGATTAAGCCAATTTGGCTCATCGGTTAAGAATTTTCGGCATAAAGATTTAGAACAATGAAGAGATTTATGCCAGCCCAGCTTGGTGAAAGAGAAAGGTCTTAAGTGCGTGACGGAAAGTACGAAGATCTGGGATCATTCGTATCCCTGGGGGTAACCTGTTCCAAAGGGTAGGTACCCCCACAGAAAAGGCTCTTTCTCTGGGAACCACCAGTCAACATTGTTTTAATGACCGCACCCTAAGGAGGCCCACCCTGTGGGAGCGTGCTGGTTGGTGGGAGGTTATCAGTTGCAGAAGGTGGTCTCGTAGGTATCCAGGTCCTAGGCCATGGAGCACTTTAAAGGTAAGAACCAACACCTTGAAGCGCACCCGGAAGACCACCAGGAGCCAGTGCAGCTCACGTAGGAGGGGTGTTATATGTGAGCGCCAGTCTCTCCCAATATCACCCGCGCGGCCATATTCTGGACCAGTTGGAGCCTCCGAGTGCTCTTCAAGGGGAGCCCCATGTAGAGAGCATTACAGTAGTCTAGACGGGAAGTGATTAATTTAAAAATTAAGGCCTTTTAGACTGATATGGTAGTAGAAAAGCAGGCTGCAAATGTCAATCTATGTCTTTTATAATACCTTTTGAGAAGTTCATCTGGGATCATTTAACTAGAAACTCTCTTGCTCAGTATTTTCTGTTTGTTTGCCAAAGGTAAGTATAATGAGCTGGATACCACACAAACACCGAAGTCTTTATCCTGTTGCCAAATTTTTTCAGATTCATGGAATCCTGCTCTGTCTTCTTCTCTCCTCTCTTCATCCTTTCAAAGTGGGTTACTTTTCAAAAATTGAAACTTTGGGCAAATCAGAGCTTGGTTATTCTCCACCTGCTTTGAACTGTTCCTATTCCTTTCCCTCAAAATCTCTCTTTGCTTTCTTGGCTGTGAGACATTCCTCTTCCTGCCAGGTGTGAAGAGCCAAGTGTTTGTAAGTGACAAATTAAAACAGTGAATAAATTTGGAAGACCAATATTTTAAGGTAACAAGAATAAAAAGTTGGAAAAATAGAGGAAAAGTCGTAGGGCTAGTTAGAAGAGAGTTTAAGCAAATTGTTTTTTGAAACTATATTTTTGCTACTCCTACTGATGTCAAAAAATGTATTTATTGATAATGGTCAAGCAAAGAGTTCTTAATACATTGTATGTATTTATTGGCTCAGTATTGTAATAAAATCTGTATCATTTCAAATATTTGTGTAAATGAACTTTATCAATAGGTATATATAATGGACTGTACTCTCTGTGCCTCTTAATCTCTTTGTTTAAGAAATACATCTCCCACTTTCATTTCTCTTCCTGTCCCTTTTAAAAATCCATTCTACTCCATTTCTCCTCCCCTCCAAAAAAGGCTGGTTTAAAATTTAAATATAATATGTATTCCTGGTATTATGCCTCTTAATATATTCATTTCTGCACATCTTCTCTTTTAAGCATTTTTCACAAATTTACCTTATAAAATAAAATTAATTAATATGAATGCTTGTCTGAAGAATTCCATTTTAAAACATCATGCAAATATTGATATGTTCTGTAATTGCATTTTGTGTTAAGTAGAAATGCATGTGATAGATTCATGATAAAATGGAAAAAATATTTTCCCCTTCCTTCCTTCCTTCCTTCCTTCCTTCCTTCCTTCCTTCCTTCCTTCCTTCCTTCCTTCCTTCAGCATTTCCCAACTGAATACCTTACAAATCATTGGACAACAGCATTGAGAGTTGCACTGGAAATTATGGGAATTGCAATCCAACATCTTGGAAATTGCAAAATGAAATCCATTTATCTGTATTCTGCCAAGTGAGGACATTTAAAAGTAGAATATGTAATTGGGCACTCACTATGAGAAATGCAATTTGTATGTACTTATTTATAATGAATAGGCTAATTTGTGAAGAAGTCTAAAAGCCCAGCTTGAAACAATATTGGGAGGAGGGGTTGCATGCAAGTTTATGTTCCTTCCGTATTTTCACCCTCCATATGTGCATAATGCTTACCTGGCTGCAGTTTCTCATGCTATCATCCTGCCATAAGTGTTCAGCAGACAACTTTTCTACCATCCATGGGTAACCCCAAAATTAAAGCAACAAGGAAATGCCTTTCAGAGTAAATTCCAGCTGGAGTCAATGGCTTTTGCAGTTTGGTTAAATCTAGCACTTTGGCAGCTGCACAGTTAATGCATCACAATAACAGATCTTAAACTATGTGAGAAGGTGAGAAACAGGCCACCGACAAGAGCCACTGTCAGTGCAGACGAGTAAAACAAATGCAAACCCAAAAATAGGAGCTGCTCCATGTTCTCCTGATCCTCAGTTTCTGTATCACTTTCTTAGTTCTTTTCAAGGACAGATAAAAATACAGATTAGAACAGGAATTTTTCTTTACACCAGGACAGGAGATTTGCATAGAAATGTAATGTATCCCTCTTATTTTAGAGATCATCATTCCAGAGATACTGCTGTTGAAGTCTGATCCTGGAATTATCTTTCTGTCTGCTGAATCCTGCTGGATCCCTCCAAAACTCGGAGCAACACCATCTTTTTTGAGATGGCAATAGATCCCTTCTCATTCTGCTTTCGCAAAGGATGACAATATCCATCTTTTCAACATATCCGTTCAGTTTTATTTATTTTAATCGCGGCTTTCCATTTGAGGTTACCAAGCAGAAACTTTTCTTGGAAATCTGGTGTCACTCATAATTCAGAACCTTCTTCTGCTTGTACTAACATTTATGGACCACTTTCTTTTTCCCTCCCCTGACTTAGAACCAGAAAAAGGCCATCTCAGTTACCTCCCTACAATCCAGAAATATGCACATTAGCAGACGTTGACCAAGAAACCTAATATAGTGGACACTACAGTACACACTGGAACTTGGGCCATGTTGCCCAATTCCTGAGTGACATTTCTATCCAGTTCCTGCCACTGTTAATCCCAATCCCATCATAACACTATCAGCATGAAAATATTTTATAAGGAATACAGGTATATCTATATTGCAGGGAAACTGCTTTTTAGTTAATATTATCAGTGAATTGGGAAAAATTCACCGTAGGTGACTCCCAATAAATAGAACGGGTCATAATTCACAATTAGGTCAGCTTGATTTATTACAGTTAGCTAAGAGAGAAATATTGGCTGTGATGTTATACACTGATATCAAAAGGAAAGAATGTAGATTTCTCAGTACTATTCCCCCTTCACAAAATGTCACTGGACGCTATCAGCAATGTCGAATGTCTATTTTTATTTATGATATTTATATCCTACTTTAAAATGACGCACCTCACATCAGTATAAATCATGGATGTATAGCTAGGAGTCCAGGGCTACAAATTACCTCTCTTTTGTTCAATTTTAGTCCTACACTTTATTTTGGTAATTAACTTAAAGTCAGTAGTCTTACTAAATAAGGCAGAAGAATTTGGGAGGTAGGGAAATCAGTCTACAAATAAAAGTGAACAGGATTTAAGAAGCCCATGATTTCAATCCATTTTCTCATGGATATCTTTGGGTCCATTCCACAAATTCTCTCTATTACCCTTAATTCTAAGAGTTGTCCACCATCCCCTTTGATATAATATAAAGCTTTGTGGTCAACATGCTTTATCTATGACATTTATTTCTCTTCCTATAAAATCTGCTCAGCTCAGAAAGCCAGTAGAGAAGATTTGTTAACGTCCCCACCATGCAGTGAGACAGGACCAAGATACAAGCCTATGAAAGTAGGTCTCCCTGGGAATAAAATCTACATCCTTGTTATTAACGTTTAGAAAACAGTTAAAAATCTGGTTATTTAAGCAGGCATTTGGGAATTAGAGCTGTGTGAATTAAATACCCGGAAGGTGTATGGTGCTATTAGTTATTATGCATTTATGAATAATTGAAATGAATATTTTAGATAGATTGCATTGTATTATTATTTTTTGTTATTTTTTATGTGTTTCATTACACTTGTGAGCCTTTTAGAGTCCCCCAACAAAATGAATACATCTTACAACTTTCCCAGTTGATTAAAAAAAAAAATGCTTAAAACTCAAGTTCTTACATTGAACCAGTGGTCTCAAAGCATCTCTCAAGCCATATTTATATATGCATGCAGGTCAGAAAGGAAGAAGCCTGAAAGCCATTTGACGCACAGTGTCACTTCTCTATTGATAGCTAAAACTATTTTGCATCTGCTGAGTCACAGTATACTTCGATTTCAACACAATCTTTCTTCACCCGGTGTTTAGATTCCACTTAAGTGTGCCAATGCATCATAGCATGGCTACATGTTACAAGTGAGCATGAGATAGAGATTCTTTAGATACTTCCTATCACCTTAACAGGTGGACATACTTGAAGCACTGAGCTACAGTTAGACTTCCCTTTTGGGACTTATTCAAAGCGGCATTGACTGGTCATGGAAAGCCATAAATCACGATATGAGATCCCATGGTATTTTTGTAAATGATACCAGAGATTAATGTTTTGTTTTGGAACATGTCAGATTTATTCATATTAAGCGAATTGATAAAATTAGACAGGGAAAGGAGTATGGTGGCATCTCTAGATATCAAGTTGCTTACTTATTCCTTAACTTGGTGACTCTTCGATCTGATTCATAAAGAATGTTCTTAAGTTGTTAATGCTTAATGGGAATGGAACAAAGGCTGTTGCAGCCAGAGATTATACAAAAGCACATATTAAATACCACAGATTTCTTGACACCCCCACCCCCTCCAAAATGAGGTTGACAATGCTTCCTAAAGGGCAATGCCTAATAACACAATGCAGCATGGTAATGTAGTGTAAGAGAATACGCAGCTTAGTACGCACTATAAATGAGGAGTTTTCAGTGATGATGATGGAGCCATACACATTAGCATCAGACTGAGCAGGACTTTTAAAAGCCCTTCTGTCTCCCTGTGTTTTCTTAATATTGCAGAGGGCTATTAAGCATATATTGAAAAGAGCTAGAAGTGGACCCAATTGTAATTTATAATAAGCTAATCAAGTACCAATAAAGAACACTGTGCAAAGATGCTAATAAAGTTTCAAACACAACAATGTGCCATTGTTTAAAGCAATTGCCCAGCTTTTAACCCTATTGCAGTGATGATTCCCAGCAGGTTGCTGTTCTCTGCGGGTGTTCCCTGCAAATCATTTGGACAGCAAAGACCATGAAATTAATCCAGAGCCCCCCAAAAAAGGATGAATCTACTTGGTGCCCTTCACAGCCATATGTGCAGGCTACATCAAACCTTGCATTTGTTTTGCTACCATGGAATGACAAAAATGTCCTTGTCAGATGGGTGGACATGAGGTGTTCAGGTGCATACATAAAAGCAAAGCAAGCTGTTTGTACTTTTAACCGGCCAGGAAGGGATTTGGGGCTTTTGATTGCATCAAATGCTCCTTAGCATATATTGCCAGATTTAAAAAAACAAAACAAAACAACACAAAACAAATAGAACATTCTGTAAACTTTGTGCAAAATCAATCCTTAATCCACTGCTTTCCTTCCCTCCTTTGGATGCTCACATTGTTTTTTTCTAATACCATGCAGGAGTCCTCAGATGCTAACATTAGGTTTTGCAGTAGAAAAGTGGGTGCAAACTTAAAACACATGTACTGCTTAAAAATAAGTGAGGTGTGATTTGGCAAGCCTTTTACATTTCTGCAATGATTCGAAGGGAAAATCTACTCAGGAGAACTCTCTTGTGTGCCTGTGTGATCTGCATTTAACCCTCAGCCAGTGAGATCCCTTTGTAGAAATCTAATGGGGCAAAAGGTTATGTAGAGCTCATTACTGCAGACAGCTTTTAAATCAAAGTGATAATGTGCCTACTCCATGCAGCTGCTTGTTCTAAGGCCTTTTCAGCTGGCAAGATGTGGTAGCAAACTTAGGGAAGACAAATCACCTTTTGCGTTAGAGAAATGCAAAGCCCACAATCAATTAGGGAAGGCTTCATAAAGCTAGCTAAGTAGAAGAATTATTTATTGGGAAGACAAGTTGATAGGGATATATATGTATTTAGATTTATTTCAACAGTCTCTTTATGCAAGCCTGGAGTTTAGGATAATGATATAATGAAAATGATAAAGAATGCAAGGGGAATATAAACTATCCTAGTTTATATTAACTAGTTATTGATACAGGATATGATTCACTGATTTTTGGGGGCTTGTTTGACATGAAGTTGACTGATGACACAAGACGCTAAACTGTCTGGGGCCAATGGTTTTCCCAACCACCTTATATAAAATTCTCTGATTTCTCAGGTTATTTGGCAAGTCTTCCATAGTGTGCTGTTCTCCAGATGTGTGGGGACTGGAAATCCCTACCAAGCATAGCCAGATGTCAACCATGATGTCTGAAGAATTGGGGGAGACATTACCTCAATGCATCTAAAGGGCACCAGATTGGAAAGACTGCTTTATAGAATAGACTTTTCCTAGATACTAATTAATGCCTCAGATTGTCCTCATTGCCCCCATAGACCCCATGGAAAGGCTCTATCCTTTACACCAGGGGTGTCAAACTTACATCGTCATGGCACCATCACATTACGTAACATGACCTTTTTTCCCCTTTCGCTAAACCGGGCGTGGGTATGGCCAGCATGTAATGCTTCTGGCCTGCGGGCCACGAGTTTGACAGTCCTGCTCTAGACCATCAATTTAATAAACTACTGGCATGGTCCCTCTGCTTGAGTGGCAAAAGCCATTGAGACATAGGATGGGTTTTTCAGTACCTGTGCTCATAAAATCTTAGGACTATAGGCCAAGTCTCTCCACTTTTGTCAGTTAAGCAAGTGTTTTTAATTAAATGTTTTTCAATTGACACTGCTATTTTTATTGAAGATGTATGGCTCAGTGATTTTCTTTCCCTGTAGTATTTTGTATTTTTGTGCATACACATGCATAAAAATAATGTACACAAATGTATTAATTATGCATACACATGTGGGATAAAACATGGTGCCAGTTCAGATAAATAAAGCAAAACAAAACATTCCCACCCTTGATTATTTTCCTAGGGACTTGAGGAACAATAACTGTCAGGTCAGCCAGAAAACATTTAGAGAATCAACAAATGTGGATAAAGTCAGAAGGTACTAGGAGATGACCACAGCCTCTGTGATTTAACACCAATTTAAGATAAACCCCTTGCAAAATAATTACGCTATCTGGAAAGCAGTTATTGTAAGGTCATAATATGCCCTCAGTGCATCATTGTTTTTCTGATTCTACCCATTACCTCATAGAATCAAATTCAAATCTTAGTTCACAGTCATAGTACATAAAATTATCTGCTACAATGTCCTACCAGCCAATGAATACTTCAGCTTCAACCAAAACAATACAAGAGCACACAATAGATACAAACTCATGGTAAACTGATCCAAACTAGACTGCAGAAAATACAACTTCAGTAACAGAATTGTCAATGCCTGGAATTCATTACCTGACTCTGTGGTTTCTTCCCCAAATCCCCAAAACTTTAACCTTAGACTGTCTACTGTAGACCTCACCCCATTCCTAAGAGGTCTGTAAGGGGTGTGCATAAGCACACCAGTATGCCTACCGTCCCTGTTCTAATGTTTTCTTTTATTCGTATCCTTTTCATGTATTTATAATTATGTTTACACTTGTATCTGTCATAAAATACATGCTTAATAATAATAATAATAATAATAATAATAATAATAATAATAATTCCAGTGGCTCAGATGGTCCACTGGAACTTGTGTCACAACTACCATCTGCCTGTAGCAAAGAACTGGTGGGATCATAAGCCTGATCGAAAAGGAGCATGCAAAACTACTGTGGGACTTCCGAATACAGACTGACAAAGTTTTGGAACACAATACCCCAGACATCACAATTGTGGAGAATAAGAAAGTGTGGATCGTCGATTTTGCCATACCTGGTGACAGCAGAACCAACAAGAAACAACTTGAAAAAGTCACCAGATATCAGGACTTGAGAATCGAACTGCAGAGACTCTGGCATAAACCAGTGCAGATGGTTCCAGTGGTACTCGGCACACTGGGTGCTATGCCTAAAGACCTAGGCAAGCACCTAAAAACAATTGGTGCTGACAAGATCACCATTGGTCAGCTGCAGAAGGCCACCTTACTGGGATCTGCTCGCATAATCCGCTGATACATCACACAGTCCTAAACGTTTGAGAAATATTCGACTAGTGATTTGGGATACGAAATCCAGCATGGTCATCTCCTTTGCTGTGTATACTGTCAGATAATAATACACATAAGAGGCTGCTATATCGGATCCCAACTATACCCAATTATTTTTCTGTATCCAATCAAATGTGTATTCTAATCTGCATAATTGTATGTTTATTAATTTTATATAGTGGGGTTGCAGCTCTGTCCTTCTTTCAGGTTTACCTTTGCTGCATCTGGTGCTGTAATAAACAATCTACATTTCAAAAGAATTTGAACTGGAATTTAAGAATTCAAAACTGGTCTGCAGTTTAAACAAACTCCTGGGGTAAGAAATTTCTTCAACATGCGTGCATGTAAAAAATATACAACATGCTTTACACGTAAAAATAAATTATATTGTATCATTTCTATGGAATCTCAATGGTCATTTTTCCTTATAGCTGTGGAACAATAACAGCGTGATCTGTCAAATAAAGGATAACTTTTGTTTCTTCTAATACTCTGAAAACCAGATAGTTAACTGGGCATGACTAGAATAGAAGTCCAAACATTGAACATCTCTCAAGATTAAAATAATGTTAAAATAATTATTACTTATAAATACAACATGTCCATTACACCCACAGGATAAAATATTTTATGAAATTGTCATTTTGACTTGGTCAAAACAGAACTACAGGCACCTAAACTCAGCACTGTTTACCTTCTGAACACATAGAGAAGGATGGGCAAACCATTTCTGAAAAACTTTGCCAAAAAAACTGAAATCATCAGGAATCAATGCTGATTTGAAGGGGGACACACACACACACACACACACACACACACACACACACAGAGAGAGAGGGGGGGGGGGCTAATAATAGATCCAGGAGAATAAACAGCACTGGTTCACCTGTCTCTCTCTTGATAAAAATGATCAGTCAATGAAATCATAGTTCAAATGCCTCACCCAGTAACTGCAGCACTATATAAAGGTCTGAAGTTAGATTGCAATGGTCATTGGACATCTGCTACCCCAAACATATCTTCAACTGGATAGCTGCTCTTTATCTGATCTGGAAGCAATGTTTGTCATTGGGTAGTCATTCCCCCAAACTGTAATGTTCAGAAACAGTCTCTCCAGGAGAGGTCACCTTAATGTTTCTTTCTTGCCTAGTAAAGGCCCCAATGCCTCATGCAGTTCCCCAAAACTTTCCTCACAGCCTCCTTGAAAGTAAATAGAAATTATAATATTTAATGTGATAAAAATGAGAATCTATTTATAAGTATGTGGACGATCTTCAGTTTAAATCTATTAATGTAGCATAATGTTAATTCTATGAGAATTTAAATTCAGTTTAATTGTATTTAATTTTTGTCCTAATGGATTTTTTTTCTTGGCTTCATTTCACATTTTTGAGTGGGCCTACTCAGCATGCTATTCAAAACACAAGTTTGACTTCCAGCTAAATAAAATAAAATAAAACTAAGTAAAATAAAATAAAGTAGTGTTGCCCTAGACTTACTATTTCTCTCTCTCTTATTAGGAATGACCATCATGTATCAAGAGAACAAATGGCCAACTTTATCTTCTAGTTTTTCAATCTGCAATAACTGAAATGAATATTCAGACCAGTGAGTACTCCCATAATCTGTATTGGTGTTGCAATAACTGTGATAAATGAGCATCTGGATGGGTGGGGGTATCAAAATCAAGATAGTGAGTACAACCCCATGAGGAAAGACCCACTGTTTAACATACATACAATGCCTGCTCATAAGGGATGGGCCTTCAGTCAAGTGGTTCAATCCACCTTATTGACTTCCCATGAATGCCCCGTCAGCTTCCACCTTATGCTCACTTATGCCTTGCTATTATGAGGTAACAGTCTGCCATGAACTGTGGGGACGGTGGATGAAGGGGGTGGGAGGCTTGGGGAGGGGAACGAAAGTAGAAACTGCCTCAAGATGCCATTCCAAGATCACCCAGCTGGAAGAAGGAGGGAGCCACATACTAACCTGGGCTCAGACTGACTGTTATGGAAACATCTTGCAGGAACTTGATTGGTGGGCAGCAAGAGGCAGATACGAGGGGAAAAGTAGAACTTAGTGATTTTGGCGCGCATGTCTCAATTCTGGTTTTGCATTACTGTAATTCACTTGACCTCTAATGAACTATACCTTTCCCAACAAATGGAGTTAAGGACCATTCTTACTTAGAAGTTCAAGTTGAGGCAGGTATGACAACCC